ACAGACGCATGGCAACTTGGAATCTATTTGTTAAACTGAGCTTAAAATTTTCCAACTTTCTTATTCTATGTTCTGTAATAAATCACTGATGTATTTACCACATTTTGACATCTTCTGTAAGCTATTACTGTACAGATCCACGACAACATGGAAACTGTTTGTGTATTAAGTAATGTTATCTATGCATCTGTCCCCTAATTAATCATTAGTAAGAACCAATCAAAAGGCATACATAATTTAGCTTATCATGTAATTAGAAATTTGAGAATACCCACATTTATTCATTTTTCTCACTTTCCTTGAAGTTTGTTATTTACAACTCTCTCTTTCCAATATTTTCTATTTTTATTACTTCACAAAATAACTAATAGTTTGTAACAGATAGATCTAATGTACAATCCTCTAACATATACATGAACTTATCCTCATCTTTTTTTTTCCAGGAAGCACAGAACATAAAAAGAATTTTGGAAACCATGTAAAAAGGAATTTAATAACATTGTTTTCTAGGACAAGAACGGAGGAGGACATCTTATAATTTTTAAGTATTCATGTTAAAGTTTAGTTGGAATGAAAAAGTTGTAAAGCATTTCAGTTATATTTTTGATAATACTTTTTAAAGGGTTTTTAAGGGAAGTCAGAAAATAGCAATGGATTAAAAAAAAAATTAATCTGAATTTTCTCCTCAGTGTATATTTTAAAAGGGAAGAAATGGAAAAAAAGCTGTCCAATCAAGCCACAGACAAACATAGAGAGAGAGAGACTTGAGGAGAAAGAGGGAAACATACTAGTGAAGAGAGAAAAAAAACATTCAGACAGAGGCAGACAGACAGGCAGACAGATAGACAGACAGATGGACAGACAGACAGATAGACAGGCAGGCTGACAGACATATAGACAGACAGACATACAGTAAGACAGACAGAGAGACAGACATACAGTCCAACATACAGCCAGACAGAAGGAGAGACAGACATACACACAGGCAGACAGAGAGGTTAAAGTATGTAGTCAGGAAAGACTAATTACAAGATTGAGGTTATATAGTTACAGTGCTTAATTAATGATAGTGCAATTTCTTATATGTTAGAACCCCTTTTTATAGTATTTTCTCCAGGGGGAAGGGGGGTGCTACCTAGAAAAAGGCTAATGGGGATGTGCTGCTGGATGATTTGTTATCAGCTTAATTCCTTATTTGCTCTTTCCTTGCTTTTACACCTCCCTCCCCCTCACACCCCCCCCCCCCCCCCAAGATTTTAAACTTTCAAAATTATTTTAAATTGAAGTACAAGTGTTCACTATTTTCCTGACCTCCTCTCTGCAGTGAATTCCTCTAGATGCTATCTTATCGAATCTTATTGGTATCTGGTGTTTAAACACCCTATAAATACCATGGCATATTTTGCATTTATCAAAATCAGTCATAAAGCAGTCATTAGGACAGGGAAATCTTACTAAGTTATTTTTCTTTGCCGCTGCCCAAATGCAGTAATGTTGTGAAATAAAAGGACCTTAACCCTTTAACTCCCACAAGTGACCAAGACATAATTTCTCCTCACAATATCAATACAATATCAACCAGATAAGTGATGAGAATGAAGTAAAATATCCTTTTGAGGATAATCAGTAATAATAATAATCAACTGTTGATCCACTACTAAATTGTCTGAAATAACATTATAAGAATTGTATGATTGAAGGTAAGGAGAATTACAAATTTGATCTGGGAGTTAAAGGGTTAAAGAAGTTGAATTCGCTTTTCTCTCCAACAAACACTTAATAGATATAATGATTATTCTAGAAATTTACATTGACTGACAGGAAGCCTTCAAAACAGTACATTTGCTTGGTAATGATTACGAGATTAAATTGCTCTATCTATATTTTTACCTAAAACTAAACTTCTTAAATTGATTCTTTTAGATATTGACATTGACCAACAGGAAGCCTTCAAAACAATATGTTTATATGATTGTTTTTTTTTTTGTCTTTTTTTGAAAATTTTCAGTTTATCTAAAACTAAACAGTATGAATACAAATCTCTACACGGTATCTCAGTGTGCAATTTTGCCGGCCTTTCTTTTCTATGTGAAGAAAACTTCTTGAACTTCTACTTCCTGAGTTCTAAGTCATTGATGTTAGTGGTTGACTGCTGATTACATTGAATGCGACGTTATTTTTTCATAAGACCGAGAGAAAGACGCTCACACATGGTGTACCTTTCACGATAAGGCTGGTTGTTGCATGCTTGAGACACGTGTTAGTGAGTGGTTAGACTAGAGAAAACTACGCACGAGAAGTTTCGTGGCTCACACCAGTGGGGTGTATTTCAACATAATTGTCAAACGTATGAATAGGTGCGAACTTCAAACAGCTAAGAGGCGGCCGAAATGGTGACTTGTGATTAAAAGTTTCAAGAACTAATTGAGCCTCTTGCGCATGCCCGAATTCTAGCCGTTGTACTGTGTTCACGTGCTTCACTACGATTCGCGCTTACCGGAGTGTGGGCTCAGATTTAGAGCCCAGCACCCAGCCACCATTGCGTGGTGGAAAGAGAATTTTCAGTGCAACTGTGTTGAGTATTGATAGTGTTATAGAATCCAAAATTATCTTCGCCCACAACGGAGCCAATTCTTGGATCCCAGAAACAACCGTTTCTCCCGCTCCAGTACGAGTCAGTATGCATATGTTGTGTATCTCGCTGCACAATCATCCCCGAGCAATCCGTACAACTTTGTCCTCGAACCGAGATGTACTCGTACTTCCGACAGCGATCCTGATTAACAAATGTTAGGATATCCGTGGCTTGGAGAGTCGCGCGTGCGTAGTCGGTGAAATCGAGGCCTGATGGGAAATTGCACGTCACGCGCCAATGCGTCGAGTTGTCCCGGATGTTGACCATTGCTTGATATGACACTCGAAAATCATTCCAGTTAAATCTTGTTTCGTTTCTCGGGAAGTTGAAGTAAAAAGGTTCTCGCTTGTAAAAAGCCTTATTTTCTAGAGAGAATGACTGGATGAGAGTCCAGACTTTGCCGGCTTCGGAGTCAAAATCACAATAAGTTTGAACCGTATCATTTAGGTTGTAAACGCCTGACTCAGACTCTGGCTTCAGATCTATATAAGATTGGCACGATTTGACTCTTGGATGGAATATCTCACATCTCTTTCCCTGGTAATTTCGTGGACAAGCACAGGTGTATTGCTTCCTGATGTTATCGCAACTCTCTACGCATGTGCCTCCATTAAGGCAAGGGTTTGGTTGACAACAGCCATTAAGGCATCTATAATGTTCCTAAAACAAATATGAACAACAACAAAACGAAATTTTAAGTCTCAAGCAAAATCTCTCTTTGTTTTAGGCGCACACTGTTTAGAATTGAGAGTCATTTGTGCTTTTTAATGACTGTTGCAGCAACAAATATTTTCACGGATATTCTCAAATTAAGGCAAATTTTTCGAAGCGATTCGTCTCCGCCACGACGTTTTCCCGCTTTGGAGACATTTTATGTGTGGATAGGTGCCGAAGTCCTTGTCGGCTCCAGTTTCTGTTGCGATAACTTTATATTGCGACTTTCAATCGAAAAACGCTCTACAATAACACAAACTTACCCTCACACCATTTTGCTGCATATGATAGAAACGTGTTCCTGGTTTTTTCACCTGATTTCCAATGGCTCCATCAATGTCCGTGCCCAGGAGCTCACATATTTTCTCACTTACTTGAAACGCAACGCAGTCACAGTGTTTAGCGCAGTGACGAAAACACTCCCAGGGATCCAACACACTTACAGTCTGAATTGTATGATTTTCTATGCTGATGTTATCCATGAAAGTGTTGTTGATGAAGACCAGCGGTGTTTCCATTTGGTTGCTCGCTGAAGAGATTGCAGTAGTTAGCAGCAGAATCGTCCCAAATTTGAGCCATAAATACGCGAAATATGAGTTCATCTTACTCTGAAAGAAGTCAATTAAAAATAATGTCTTATAGTTTTTAGTAAGACTTGAACTAAATAAAAAATAAATACGATAAATTTTAAGATGAAATATGCTCGAGAATTTGTTCAACGACGTTTTCAGCTCCGAAAAGAGAGTATTTTACAAAGAGAATCTTAAGAGATAATTACGGAGCTCTGTACAAGGAGAAACATGGACGAGTGAAGGTTTTTTGTGTATTACACGTTATACATTTCCTTAAATATGTGGACAAATGTTTAACAAACAGCTTACCTTCGAATTACGTTTAACCACATAGGATGTAGGCTATTGTTTTATTCTTTTCTGTGCTCATCAAAACCGTTTTCAGTTTGATGTTAAAAATGGGTACCAAGAATATTATTCAAATCTGCTATCATTTTACATCATACATTTTTAATTCGAGTTATCGCCTTGAGGGGAAATTTGTAAAACCAGGCAAACATATTCGGGCAATATGTTTAGGGCGTCGTTACGTACTATAGCATCTACCGAAAAAGATTTCAAACTAGATGAGAAAAAAAAAAGAAACAGTTTAGCAGATCAGTGATAAAATTTTATCTTTTTTACAAGAGCTAATCTTTGTAAGAATTTCTTTATAACACACCTACTTAACTCCACCGTTCAAAATCACGTTTGCGTTTTCCTGAAAGACAGGTTCCTGTGACTGGTTAAAGAGCATATTGATCATTTTAATTGTTATCATTTTAACGGCAAATTGGCGCATTTTTGCGGGATAACATGGAGATTTCGGGGCCTAAAATGTATTTTAGGCGGCTTGCACGCTTGCGTGGTTGTTCAGACTATTTTCTTGTCATTTGCTCAGTTTTTATTTTCTCCATGCCCTCCAGAGTGATACTCATAATAATGCAGTTTATGTTCGTTTTATAAAACAACAGAGTTTATGTTCTTGGGCATAAATATGTTTTGGGCCTGACACGGAGTCATTTTAATCCTTACCTAGCAGCTCGGGTTAAAATAACTCTAAGTCAAGCCCAAAACATATTTATGCCCAAGAACATAAACTCTATTGTTTAATCAAACGAAGTATTCAAATGAAGAAGTCCTTACTTCACCTCGATACCAACACGTATACGTGTCAGATCAAAAAGCATTCTGGAAGAATACAGTTGCCGGGTGTTTAAACAATGCTCGCCTAAGAATTAATAAGTATCGTGATTGCCTTTCGATTTCACCTTTTCATGATAAGTTAGATGCACACCCGTCAACAAAAAGTCGACAGAAAAATTTCTCTCTTAAAAGAACTCGTTGTTAAATACTTTCAACTAATAATAAAAGCTTGGTTTCAAGGGAAAACGTGTTAACTTCATAAAAATAAAGACAAAAGTGTTGAGGACAATTTGATGAGGTATAATCTTCCCAGAATTTCCGGCTTTACATTTGATTTCCATAAAAAGTATTCTAATCAGGTTATCTACTCTCGAAAATCATTCTCTCTACAGGAATAGCTGTAAGATAATTGGTTTTATCAACTTAGCTGACGATGTAAATTGGCCACCGTAAAGAGTTTCTAAACATCAGCAAAAAATAGGAAAATAGTCAGGCGCAGTGATTCATTTCGAACACTCCAAGTAGAGAATTTAAGAATTGAGTTTGCAACAGAAGTTCGAATTCAGATGTTAGCAAAAGTTACAAGAAAGTTATTTTTACTTCAGGGCAGATGTTTATTTCGAATGTAGACGTTAGATCAACGCACGTCAATACTAGCTGTCTGAACAGAGTTTTGGAACAATTGCTTACCGAAAGAGTGGAGTCACAAATATTTTTGTTACAAGTTACTAACGACTTCTTGCTTGAGAACAGATCCTTAGCGTGACCTCATGAAATTTAAATGATCCGGCCGTTAAAACTAAATACACTCCTTTCAACTAAGATTTCCAACATTTACCTCCTTGTTAAAGACAGCCAGAACCAAGACAAAGCTCTCTTTTTAGTGCAGAAAAAGGCCATAGTGCGATGTATGAAAGATGGAATCTCCGATAGATTCCTGAAATAATTGTAAAGTGTAAATAAAGAGTAGACTCTAACATCTAGGTGCTATATTTCTTTCATAAGTGTAGGGAATTACATGAACACTTGCGGTCGGTAGGTATCTATGCGGTTACTTAAACCTGTTGATTATAAGTTAAAGTTTCACCTAATAATTAATACTTCATCTATGCTCGAATTTCATTTACGAAAATACAATAAATCTTGCATTGGAATCACTTGGCGCGATCTCATCATGAAGGCCGAAGTCTTCGATCGATCGGCTGAGCTTTCTGTAGTTACGGGATCCAATCTCGACCCCGAAAAAAACTGGTATGTGCTAACGAAAAGTTAATGTAAAATCAGGCCGAATGCTCTTGCAAAGAACGAATTGTTTCTTCGATTCCGCGATGACTACAAACGTTCTGTCGTGCCAGCAGGTCTCAAGCGCGCCAACATAGGCTGTTCGTTCAACGCCAAGTAACCAAACAACATTTATGTTAAATCTTCAATTGGTCTCTGTGCCGGACTGATTAGACAAGGAGAATTCCAGCAGATGGATTCGCGAGGTCTCGAAATATCATCGTGTTGTTGATGCGGTAAATCAACGGCAGTTAGATAACGGCGTAATACACAGTCTATAGACTGTAAGATTTTACGCCACTATCTGCGTCGGTGTATATATATGTAGGATTTTAAGCCGTTAACTAACGACGTAAAATCTTACAGTATATAATATACCGACTGAAAGAAATTACGCCGTTAGTTATTGGCGTAAAATCTTACAATATATAATATACCGACTCGAAGAATTACGCCGTTAGTTACTGGCGTAAAATCTTACACATAAACAAAACCGACTGGAAGAAATTACGCCGTTAGTTACTGGCGTAAAATCGTGCATATAAACACAACCGACTGAGAGAAAGTACGCCGTTAGTTACTGGCGTAAATCTTACATATAAACACAACCGACTGGAAGAAATTACGCCGTTAGTTACTGGCGTAAAATCTTACGGCGCAATTTCCTCCGGTCGGTGATGTATATATGTGGTGTAAAATCTTACAGTATATAGACTGTGTTAGTCACATATTACGCCGTTATATATATTCCCGTCGTTTTGGCAAGAGTGATGTCTTAGGAAAAGCTAAAAATATCGTTCCAAAACCTTCGCATATAAAAGGTCGTTATAAGAATAGTTGCATTGCGCCGAAGCTTGTAGGGGAGACCATCAGTTGAAAGCGATAAGTGTTCTCTGGATTATCTAATCAACACAGCTTCTGGACTTTGAAAGTTCTGTGTAAAGAAGGGTTTGTTGGAGTTAACCTTAAATATGCTTAGGTCTTCGATCGTGGAGGTGAAATCGGCTTTACCGGTGCCGCTTTTTTGGCTATTTTTGAGTGTCTTCTTTTTACGTGTTTTAAAGTGTTCCTGTTATATTTTTCTGTAACATTTGGTCGGGACTATTTGTGAAGCTTGTGTTACCGTTTTAATGTTGTCTTCTTTAAGACATCTATTTTCTCTACAGAGAAAATAAGCTTAGCGTACCGCCCCTTAGGTTTTTCCTAACTAGACCCGTTAAGTTTGTATAATGCATTTCTATGGACTCTTCTTTCTGGAACGTGAGCGAACAAAGTAGAGTTGTACCTTGAAAATGATTAGAAATGTAATCATCGGAAGTTGCGGTTTTTTCCATTTCATTCAGGGAGAGCTTTATTAACCTTTCTCTAGCGATTATCGGATGTCCTGGAATGTTCACCGAACACCTTGTGCCACCAAGAGGCGTCAAACCTTGGCTTGAATTACTTATGCAAATTAGCTAGCTGCACGTTCAATGTGCTAATTTGCATAAAAATTTTTCCCGACGCAAAGCTCGTCATGCATTTGCCTCATTCTTGTTTACGTGTGGTTTTATATTTACAAGACTGGTAAGATTTGGTCATCGTAATGGGGGGCTGAGATATGTAGTGGGCATAAGCATTTTGTTTCCTTGTGTCAATTTTTTAACCTGATGGTTTGTTTAGTTTTTCTCGTGAAACTTAGACGCATCATCATCATTGCAACGTTAGATGGTCCAGTTTACTTTGAAAAATTTTATGGTACATGTATATATATATATATATATATATATATAGATATTTGTTTTATTCGATGTTTATATTTACTATTTTCATACAGGAGAAAGTTACGTCTTGCCCTCTCTGTGATCTTTGTCCTTTCATTCTTAAAACCCGTCGAGGGAGCTGCAGGTAACAGTTTAAAAATCTATCGACTCAGTTCATCCATAAGTGTATTTTAACTTAGATCTGAGCCGCTTCGCTTCTCATGAATTATTATTCAAGTATTCATTGTTTGCAACTTATCGAGTAAGTCTTGAAGATCCCTAAATGATTACTTTCCTCTCGGTTTCCCTTTCAGGAATCTCCTTTGTCTAGTTAATGTGTTATAGAGAGCTTGGTTATAGATTGAGGGGGAGAAAAACTTCTTTCACACATTTTTTAAGTACTAAAAGCAATTTTAAGGTGATTCCTAAAAAGACAAATTTTTGAACGGTGTTTTTAAACTTTCCTTGAATTTTTCCTATCAGCCTCTTTTCGAGAACTATAGTATATAAGAGGGATCACCGTGTGTTCTTAAGAAATAGATGGGTTAATCTTCATTTTTACCTGTTCTGGTAATAATCACGCGCGTACTTGGAAATAACTTTTTGATCTATAATTTATAATGGTAATAGGATCGAATGGAGTTCAATTCGGTCTGTAATCATAGGAGTAAT